GCACTGCAATGCAAACGCGATTCTCCACTGGTCAGCTTGTGCAGGTGTGACGGCCTTCGGGGAATTATTCCCTGTGGCTTTGGCACACAACCAGTTAACTGTCTGGAATCCACAATCAGCGGCGAAATCAGTCGGCATCACGAATGTCTCAAAGCTCACCTCCTGTGGGCCACATGCATCAACAACCAGCTGTTGGACTGTGGTGGCAACATCCGTCGGCATCATCAGCGTAGCTGTCCCCTTCGTCGCCTGAAGACCAAGTGGGAACCAGTGGCTTCTAGCTAAAACTGGGACCATGAACAGGGTCAGATCCTGGGCGAGATCGTGGCTATGCAAGGACTGGAGGGTCCAAGTGGCAATCTGCTGGTCACTGTCGCAGAAGTCATGGAGTTCGAGTGGATCTGCCACCTGATGACCTTGGTTGCGAACGAGCTGAACATAAAACTGCATTTCATCGACTGCAACCAACGGACCTTGAACCAAAAGTCCCTGGAACCTGCTTTGACCCTGAAGTGTCAGGACAGTGGATTGGCGTGCATGGACTTCTGGGCATTTAGGAGTCGTATGTGTGGCTCGATTAGTTATGACGTACCACGCAGACGGCGTGAGCTGACAATTCAACGGGAACGGCGTGCCAGTGAGTGTTGTGACTGCAATAGGCTGGACAAAGCTCGACAACTTTGCTTCGGCTTGGGACAGCTGACCGACGGTTGCACCCGCACACACTTGGATCTGCATCGGCTGGTTTCCTTTGCTGCAAATCGAAACTGTGAAGTTGTCATTCGGCTGTATGAACATTGGGTCCTCCTGATTAGCACACTGCTTGGGGGGGGGGGTAGACCTCCCGGCCTCTTCCCTCGTGGTGGGTGGCCCACACACAACAGCTGACCTCCCCCGATCGGCTCTCTGTACCCCCGGGCCTCCTTTGCCTTTACCTCGATTGGCCACGCCTTGGTCGTCGGGCAAAGATCTGCCGAGGACGGTGTCGATAGCGTGCGATGCTGCAAAGCCGGCCTCAAGTGCACAGGGATCAGTGGGCTTTGCCTCTGTGGTTGGCAGTGCACCGCCTACTTCAGGAGATGTGGCTCCTGTCTGACTTCCTGGCTGGATGTGAGTGGTACCTGAGGATGGAATCGGCGGAGTGGCACGGGACACCAGGTCCTGAGCATTTCCCCCGGTAGTCATGGTTCGAACCGTCAGCGTGTTGCGGTCTACATGGGCTTCTACATAGTCAGGGGCCCTCACTTGAGTGGGCCAACATGTATTGAGCTGACTAGGCTTTGCAGCTGACCGATTGGCAAACAACTCGATACCCCCTGTAGGCGAGATGGCTTGGTGCATCAAAGAACCCTCTTCAGAGTCCCCCATCTTGCGTTTCAGGTGTCCTCGCGTGTGGGATAGCTGTGCGTGATTGCCCGATCCCTCGGCAGCATCGACTGGGTGGGCTGTGAATTCATATTCAACACCGAACTTCGCATGAATGGCTGCCTGGAACAGAGCTGATTCCTTAGTGTGGGCAAACGGATGGAGCATCTCATCACGTGCAGCAAATGTTTCAACCGCAAGCCGCAACAAGCCTTGTTCGGCTAGTGCATGATGTGTTGGTGCTCCAAACGCATTGCCAAAAGCCTGCATGACTTGTGCTACGCGCCATAAGGCCTGAGCAGGTGAGGCCATTTGGCCAAGTGCTGTGAGATCTAGCCGTAAGTTTCGGCCTTTTTCCTGTTGGATGCGCTTGGTAGGAACCATGTGCAGTACTGCAACCTCATCGGGATGGATGTGTCGCATGTTCGCGATCTCTTGTCCTCGAACAATCGTTGATCCAGTGATCGGGACCAAGGCACCATAAAGTCCTTTCTCTTCGAGTCTTTTTGGAGTAAATCCCCCTGCCCTACAGCCGCAGGCGCAAGCTGTTAGTTGTGACCCCCATGCATGGAGTGCAGTCTGAAGTGGTTTGGTTGGATTCACCGCATTGCATCCTAGCCCCCCTGGCTGTTCCGCAAACACTTCTAGCTCAAGTGCCGTCAGCTGCAGTTCATTTACTTGTTCATCAGGCCAAGTTGCAATCTTCAGCAGGAGATGGCGAAAAGAAGGCTTGAAGGCAAGGCTTGGGAAGCTCCTCAACGGTGGCATATTCACATATGGATGGACGATGATCGCCCACCATCTCGTTCGTTTCGCTGGCCAGAAATCTTGCAAATGGCACACCTGTTGCTGGAAGGAATATCCTGTAAGCTTGCAGAAATGCTGGAGCGTACTTTGAACCCAAGTTGATGTCATTGCTTCCTTCGTGCACTCCAGGATCATGGCTGCAGGCTGAAACAAATAGCAAGCCATGACCATTCCTTCAAAGCTCCTGGCCCGTGGGTCCAGCTGTTGTCGCTGATCGCCCAACTGCGAAAAGGGCTGGCAGGCAAAACCTCCGGTCAGAATGCAGGGCCGTTCGGTGTATGGAATCAGCTTCACTTGTACATCGGTGCTATCGATGTCACCCTCAATGACCGGCGTCTTTCGAGTCCGAAGCCAGGCAGCGTATCTGGGATTGATCTCGACATGACATCGAACCTTGCAATGTAGGAGGTGATACCCAGCAGTCATGACTGCGTAGCCGGAGCAGACATCGATGATGTCGTTGACATCTTCACTATGCAGCATTTGGTGGATTTGGACCGAGGCTTGGCTAGCATCCAGGAAGGTCATACCCAACTGTGACCCTTTGCAGGCGTTGATGAGCGTGAATCTTTCGCCTTGGAGTTGAATGCCTTGCAGGTAAAACTTCTGTTCATGCAGAACTGACGTACAGTGGTAGGCTTGTCGAGCTTGGTCATAGAACCATGCGCGTCCGGAAACCGAAAGTAGGGATCCATCTCCTAGTGATTCGATCCAAGGTTCTGGATCAAACCGTGGCGCGCTACCCCCCCCGAGTCATTGGCATGACCAGGTGAACCAGCTGGGAGGTACTCGGGCCGACACCTAGCGATGGCCTCCAACCTAAGAGCGATGGCCTCCAACCTAAGAGCGA